GAAGAAAGGGAATGAGGAGGAGGCATAGCCGGTGGTGAAGAAACATAAGAAGGGAAGAAGGAGGAGGCATAGTCGGCGGTGAAGAAGTGGAAGAAGAAAGAGAAGAAGAAGCCTCTACGCCGCTCTGCTCGCCTCATTGGTGCGACGCAGTTGCCTCGTTGTTCTACTCGCCTGACCATTGGTCACTGAAGATGATTTAGTCATCGAGACTAAACTTGTTTTAGTTGTGTTGCTGTCAAAACTAAGTTGGTTGCATTCTAATACTTTAGTAGCAGTGATAAGTTTGGACTATTTGTAGTTTTCCGCCGCTTGCTTTTGGAACTCATGTGCTATGGTAAGTAATTGTATATTTGGCAGCATGCCGTTTGTCAATTTGAATTTGCTAGTTTCTATACTTGGCAGCATCTCGTTTCTATTTCTCGGTACTTTTGTTTGTCAGCTATTTGAAGTTGAGACATGATTGCTTGTATCTGCATTGGTATTTCCTCGAAGAGGAGAGGGTGATGCAGCACATCAACGGTAAGTATTTCGCTCGGTTATGAAACCAAGGTTATCAATCCAGTAGGAGAACTAAGCAATACTATGTAAACGGATCCTGCATACAAACAACAAATACTTGCAACCCAACGCGTAAGAGGGGTTGTCAATCTCTCCCCGATAAAAAGATAGATAAAATTGTATGAGATTGGATAAATAGATCTTGCAGAAACACAAAATAAAATAAATAAATAAATAAAAAGTGCAGCAAGGTACTTTTGGGGTTTTTGGAATAATAGATTTGAAAACAATATGATAGAAAATATACCCGGGCCCGTAGATTTCACTAGTTGCTTCTCTCAAGAAAATAACATACGGTGGGTAAACAAATTACTATTGGGCAATTGATAGAAGAGCAAATAATTATGATGATATTCAAGACAATGATCATGTATATAGACATCACGTCCAAGATTACTAGACCGACTCCTGCCTGCATCTACTACTATTACTCCACAGATTGACCGCTATCCATCATGCATCTAGTGTATTAGGTTCGTGGAGAAACAGAGTAATGCAATAAGAACGATGACATGATGTAGTCAAGATATATTCATGTAGGAATAGACCCTATCTTTTTATCCTTAATAGCAACTATACATGCGTGTATCACTACCCTTCTGTCACTGGGCGAGGACACCGCAAGATCGAACCCATCACAAAGCACCTCTTCCCAGTGCAAGAAAAATCAATCTAGTTGGACAAACCAAACCAAAGTTTCGAAGAAGAAACACGAGGCTATAATAATCATGCATATAAGAGATGAAAGAAGACTCAAATAATATTCATGGATAGATCTGATCATAAACTCACAATTCATCGAATCCCAACAAACACACCACAAAAAGTCATTACATCAAATAGATATCCAAGAACAACGAGGAGAACATTGTATTGAGAATCAAAAAGAGAGAAGAAGCCATCTAGTTACTGCCTATGGACCCGTAGGTCTGTGGTGAACTACTCACGCATCATCGGAGGTCCACCAATGAGGATGATGAACCCTTCCGTGATCGTGTTCCCCTCCGACAAGGTACTGTAATAGGGCTCTAGATTGGACATCGTGGTTCTGGAACTTGCGGCGGATGGAATTGTGTTTTGCGAACTCCCTAGGGTTTCTAGAATATTTGGGTATTTATAGAGCTGAGAGGCGGTGGAGAGGACCTCCGTGGGCCCCACCACCCATTAGGGCGCGCTAGGGGTCTCTGGCACGCCCAGGTGGGTAGTGGGCCCCACGGGCCTCCCCCTGGTGCTTCCTTGGCTCCCAAGTTGTCTTCTGGGCAGAAAAAAAATCTCCAAAAAGTTTCATGGCATTTGGACTTCGTTTGGTACTGATATTTTGCGAAGTAAAAAATGAGCAAAAAATAGCAACTGACATCGGACACTATGTGAATAGGTTAGTCCCAAAAAATATATAAAGTTGCTATGAAATGAATGTAAAATATCCAAGAATGATAACATAATAGCATGGAACAATAAAAAATTATATATACGTTGGAGACGTATCAAGACAAAAATGGTATATCTGTGTGTCCAAATGTGGAAGCAACTATGTATGTTAGATTGATATATTTGGCAGGTAGTATGTTTCCATTTTGGATGTATTACTTGGCAGCAAGTATGTTTCGGGAGGCATCACTGATTTGCTGCCACTCCTCTCCTGCATGAATCCAGCCAACTCGACCTCTCCGGGGGAAATCCTTGATCTGTGATCAGGCGATGGCGATGCCTTGGTGTCGTATTCCCTCTTGGGAGCTTCGTCTTGGGAGCTCGACATCAGTGGGCAGGACTCGTGGATGGCGGCGGTTGTGTCTACGTACCCTCGTAGACCGTAAGCGGAAGCGTTTCACAACGTGGTTGATGTAGTCAAGCTTTCTTCGCGCTCCACCGATCGAGTACCTAACGTACGACACCTCTGAGTTCTGCACAAGTTCAGCTCGGTGAGGTCCCTTGCCTTCTTGATCCAGTAAATCATCGAGGTAGTAGATGAGTTCCATCAGCACGACGGTGTGGTGACGGTGATGGTGAAGTGATCTTCGCAGGGCTTCGCCTAAGCACTAGGAAAATATGACCGGGGTAGTAAACGGTGGAGGGGGGCGCCGCACATGACTAGGCAATTGTCTGGTGTGTGCTAGGGGCGCCCCCACATATATATAGGTGGGAGGGAGAGGGGAAGGCCAGGAGGCACCCCAAGTAGGACCGAATCCTACTTGGGTTCCTCCTAGGACGCCCCCCATTCCTTATTTGCCGGAAGGGGAAGGAAAGAGGAAGGGGAGAAAGGGAAGGGGGAGGTCGAATCTCCCCTCCTTTCTCTTTCCCTCTTTCCTTCTCCCCTTGGTTCGGCCCATATGGGGGCGCACCAGCCCATGGTGGCTGGTGCATTTCCCCTCTTGGTCCATAAGGCACATATCTTTTGCCGGGGGTGCCCGAAACCCCTTCCGGTGACCCGATATGTACCCGGTACCCTCCGGAACACTTCCGGTGTCCGAGTACCATCGTCCTATATATCAATCTTTACCTCTTGACCATTTTGAGACTCCTCTTCATGTCCATGATCTCATCCGGGACTCCGAACAGCATCCGGTCACCAAATCACATAACTCATATAATACTATATCGTCATCGAACGTTAAGCAACATTCGGTCACCAAATCAGATAACTCATATAACTCATATAATACCTACGGGTTCGAGAACTATGTAGACATGACCGAGACACCTCTCCGGTCAATAACCAATAGCGGAACCTAGATGCTCATATTGGCTCCTACATATTCTACGAAGATCTTTATCGGTCGAACCGTTATGACAACATACGCAATTCCCTTTGTCCATCGATATGTTACTTGCCCGAGATTCGATCGTTGGTATCTTCATACCTAGTTCAATCTCGTTACTGGCAAGTCTCTTTACTCGTTCCATAATACATCACCTCGTGACTAACTCCTTAGTCGTTTTCTTGCAAGCTTATGATGTGTATTACCGAGAGGGCCCAGAGATACCTCTCCGATACTCGGAGTAACAAATCGTAATCTCGATCTATGCCAACTAAACAAACACCTTCGGAGATACCTATTGAGCATCTTTATAATCACCCAGTTACCTTGTGATGTTTGATAACACACAAGGCATTCCTCCGGTATCTGGGAGTTGCATAATCTCATAGTCGAAGGAATATGTATTTGACATGAAGAAAGCAATAGCAATAAAACTGAGCGATCATTATGCTAAGCTAACGGGTGAGTCTTGTCCATCACATCATTCTCCTAATGATGTGATCCCGTTATCAAATGACAACACATGTCCATGGTTAGGAAACCATAACCATATTTGGTCAACGAGCTAGTCAAGTAGAGGCTCACTAGGTACACGGTGTTTGTTTATGTATTCACACATGTATTTAGGTTTCCGATCAATACAATTCTAGCATGAATAATAAACCTTTATCATGAATGAGGAAATATAAAATAACAACTTTATTATTGCCTCTAGGGCATATTTCCTTCAGTCTTCCACTTGCACTAGAGTCAATAATCTAGTTCACATTGACATGTGATTAACACCAATAGTTCACATCATCATGTGACCAACACCCAAAAGGTTTACTAGAGTCAATAATCTAGTTCACATCGCCATGTGATTAACAC